TCCACCCTGCACCCACTATGACCGGGCACTGGGCACAGGAAGTCCACTCTGCACCCACTATGACCCGGCACTGGGCACAGGAAGTCCACCCTGGTCCCCTGAAAAGCTGGGTGTTTCACCACCACCTTCACCCCCAAAAGGGACCCAGAGGCCCCTCAAGTTTTGTCCTCTGAAAGGAAGCCACATTCAGGATGTCTGTCCAGAGTCCAGGCCGGTGGCAGCACCTCACCCGCCAGGCATGGACGAGCAGCACCGCCCCCACCGTGGCGAGGGGGGATTCACACACAGACGGGAGCCCCACATCTGGAGGCCGGTCCAGGTCAGCCAGGGCCACAGTGGACCAGCGCCCACGACACCCCTCAGAGCCACAGGCCAACCTTCCCCCGTAAGCCAGACCCCTCTGGGCGCCTCTAGGTCAGGGGACGGCACCGGCAAACTGCACTAGCAGCCCTGCCCCTCCCAGCTCTTCCACGTGGCCCCTGTGCCCCCTAATAGCTCATTATTTTGTCCCAGTTCTGCAACCCCAGCCCTGGGGCCAGACCACTGTCACCTCTCACCTGGACAGCAGCACCTCGCCAGTCCCCAAGCCAACTCTTCCTCCCCACTGTGCCCAGGGACGTCTGGTAAAGCGTCACCTCTTGTTCAGAAGCCCTGGGGGTTCCCGCGGCCTGGACTAGAGTTTGGCCCTGACCGCTGGTAATGAATCACATTCGCCTTGCTGACTCCGTGCCCTGCGCGCTCCAGGGCTGTCCTCTGACAGGACGGTACCAGCGGCTGCGCTGAGCACGCGCCACGCCCGCCGGGGGCACGTCCTCGCACACCATCCCGGTAGGAGGGGCCCCAGCGCAGGACCCCCGCTGCCCCCCAGCACTTCAACCCGCCCTGCTTGCTGCCCTCACTGCACCGCTCCATCTGGAGGACAAGGACACGCTTCTCGCACTTCTGTGCCTTTGTTCCCTCCCCCCTGCCTGGGTGCTACAGGCAGCTCTGCCTAGGACCGACCCCTCACCAGCCTCGTCACAGCGCCCGCCCCCCCCCCCCCCGCCACTGGCCCCGCCGCCCTAAGGGCCAGTCCCAGGGCTGAGAGCAGGGCTGGCTCTGAAACGCTGGGCTTCCCGCCAGCGCTCAGCAATGCGTCCCGACAATGGGGGGCGGGGGGCGCCCGGACACCCGCCCCCCTCGTGTCCCTTGGCCGCGACTGGGAGGGACTGTGGCCCCACTGTGCTGAGTGTCGTCTGGGCTTCTCACACCAAGGAGATGCTTTCTGGAGACTCCTAGCAGGCCGTCTCTGGCTGGCCAGAGTCTAGAAAACAGTGTACTTTACTGCTCTAAAGAATTTACATTTATTATCCTTTAAGCCTTACTTTGAAAAGAAGAGAGATGATTTCTGACAATGAGGCTGGGGTGGGAAAAGGAATTCTGTGTCATTTAAGTGAAATTCAGCGGTACATTCTCCTGTCCTGGGTCCCTTGTCACTACATGGTGACAATGTTACTGGTTCTACGTGTCGGAAAGTTACTGGCCTGGCTCCCAGGAGCATCATGTGAGCCACGCTTAGCAGCTCCTCTTAGCTCACTGCCAAGCTTCCAAGCAAGACGTGCTAACCCCTCTTCATGCCTGCACCATCCACCCCACACTTTCCGTCATCTCACGCTACACTGGGAGCGACCTGGGTTCTCCTGAATTCTGGTCAGTCTGCCTATTGGTGAAGCCGCATGAAGGTGAACAGTCGATGGCCATCACTCCCTCCAGCCTCAAAGCGTTTCAGGAAGGGACCCTGTGGATCTGTCTCATTACCAGCTCTGTCCTGGGGGTGCTGCCTAATCGGGAGACCCCCTTAGCACCTGGCATTTGGACGTAGGTGACCCACAGCGGCTGACGAAGGTGCCCAGAGGCGCCAAGGTAACCTCACTGGTCCACCCAGTCCTCTGGCTACATGAAGTGTATAAATACCTGTGAATTCTCTACTCCCTTCCAGCGGCCAGAACAGGCTAACATGATTAAGTCAACACATCCCCCAAGATTAGCAGAAGTTCATGATTACGACGGGCCCTTCCATGGACTGCTCGAGACCTGGGCCAAAAGGATGCTCATGACTTCTGACCCTGAGACCACCCTCCTCAAATTTTCCAGCAGAATGAGGCCCGTGGGAGCCTGCCACATACCGGGGGGGCCGGCGCTCCGGGCTTGGCTGGCCGCCGGCTGAACTGAGTGCCGCAGACAACTGCTCAGTGCGGGCGAGACTGCCTGGTGCTGGGCCGGAGCCTGGGCCATGGTGAGGGGGAGGGCTGGCCTCAGGGCCGTGGCCGGGCTACTCAGACTCCCACCGCCTGGGTGAAGCGTTGTGGCCATCCCCTTGGCCAGCGGAGACCCTCCGACCGCGTTATTCCGGGGTGGCCCAGCCCCGCCTACAGGAACCCTGAGGAAGTAAACAGAATGAAGTCAGGGGAGGGCACAGATGCAACCATGCCACACAGGCCACGTGGTCCGGGGACAAATCCTGAAGTACCACCAAGAGGACGCCTGCAGGCATGCGATGCCCAGAGCTCAGGCTGGCAGCAGAGCCCCCTGTACAGTGGCATGGTCTCTCGATGCGAATATGTGAGAAACGGCAAGAGAACCCTAAGAAACAGAAATGATGCTGATCAGGTATTTTGTTCCAGAGCCACTGCCTCGGTTTAGTCTAACAAACAGCTGTGTGTCCCCAACACGTGCAGAAGGAATGGGCTTGGACGCATCTGGCAGGCGGCAGGCGGCAGGAAGCAGGCCCCGTCTCCCTCTGGACACAGCTTCCTGGCTCTGGGGCCTCCAGGAAAGGGTGCAGACAAGCCCTGTGCTCCTGACGGACGCCGGGGAACTTGCGGTTTTGCCCATACTTTCCAGATGAAGCCAGTGTCGACAGCCCAGGAACACAAAGGAGCACAGGACCCCGAGACGGGCTCTGATGGTCTGTTCTGCACGTGCCGGCGCTGAGCCGTGCACCAGCTCTCAGCATGTGGGTCTGGGCTGGGAAGCTCCTGGGGTCCGGTTTCAGGGATCAAATGCCTTCCATTTGTCTAAGAGCTGGGAAAACGTCCCTTCTGTCCCCTCAGGATCTCAGTCGTGAAACCCCAGAGCCACACGTGGGGGAGGGCAGGCACTGCTGCCAGGGTCCGGGGCCATGTGGGAGGGCCCCGGGGAAGCAGAGCCTCTGCGGAGCAGCTGTGGGGAGAAGGGCCTCCTCGTCCAGGGCCATGGGGCCATGGGGCTCACAAATGGTGGGCCTTTCCAGGAGGGACCGTGGGTGGCGTGGCTCCCCTCCCCGCTGCTTCAAAGGTGCGAGTCGGTCCGTCGTCAGTGCAGGTTTGGGCATTGTTCAGTTGTCTTCCTGAAGTCTTGTTCCAAAGAGAGCAGAAGCCCGGGGGCGAGCCTCCAGTGGACCTGCGTGTCCTGGGCTGTGAACCAGGGCTGGGTAATCCAGGGTTCCACCCTGCAGTGGACGCTCCCCTCCATGGAAACATCTGACAACCCTGGGTCATCTCTAGCGAATTTTTTAACTTGCTTTTCCGAGGTTATAAAAACTACCAGTAAATTTGTAAAACACAGGAAGTCACAAGGAAGAAAAGAAATTAATCACACATAATGCTCCACTCAATAATAATGGTTAACTTCTGGGAATATGTAATCTTGCCTTCACGTGTGTGAATGGCATGTGCTTCTCGCACACACACCCGCTGTACTCACACGTGCACACACGCACACGCATTCACACATGCCCACGTGCCCACGAGGTCCCACCCTGGAATGCCCACCCCCGTGTGCAGCTGCCACGCGCGGCTCTGCTCCTCATGGGCACACCTCACCTGGAGACGGGCGTCACGTAGTTCCCCGGGAACACGCCCGAGAGCCCCGTCCGCAGCGCTGTGCCCTTGAACCAGCCATCCCGACACTTCTCCAGCACGCGGTACGTGTCGCCCTTGCGCAGCTCCAGCTCGTCGCTCTTCTGGGGCTTGTAGGCATAGAGCGCCAGGTACCTGCGGCAGGAGAGGCAGGCCGGTGAGGGGGCGCAGCTGGGATCAGCTACCAGGAGCGGCGGGCAGGGAAGGGACCGAGCTCCCCTGGTGACCCAGCAGCCATGGCCCCCATGCCCTGCGCTGAGCCGGCCGGCGGAGTGCACGGTGGCCCCACTACTCGCCCGAGGCCCTGGAGGACCTGCCAGACGAGATGGTGGCGCCAGCTCTCTGGGCCCCTGCTTCATGCTCTTCTCTCTGCTTCACGCCTGACACTCTGGGCAAGAGAAAGCCTTCGGGAAAACGGGGCTGAGCTACGCAGCCCCGGGCTGGGATTTCCTTGTTTCATCTTACCTGCTGCTTACTCATCCATCTAAGCTGGAAGAGACTCAGGGGCCCTTTTAAGGAAAAGGCAGCCCAGTTAGGGACTCCTCAGATCTGTGGCTAATTGAAATCCTGCTTTTCTTTTAAGCCTCTTGGAACAATGCAGTGGTGTGAACCCTCGCCCAGGGCTTGGAAGCTGCGCCCTCAGGCACCAGCTGTAAGTGCTCTGCTACCCTGGGGCTTTGTGGACCCGGTGAGTGTGACCTAACGGGAGAGTGGTCTCAGGCAGATACACTGCTCACGCGATCTGGGCAGGAAAAGTGGCGCGGCTTTCACTCCAACAGGGAACCAGATGCATTTAAAGACATTTGTTTTGGCCGCACCACGCAACATGTGGGATCGTAGGTCCCCGACTAGAGATCGAACCCGCGCCCCCTGCAATAGAAGCACGGAGTCTTGACCACTGGACCGACAGGGAAGTCCCAAGCTGCATTTTTAAGAAGCGTCGTCTCCTGGGCTGCCTACCAGGATGTGCCTGGTGGGCACCCTGCCCCCCCTCCCCGGGCTGGCTCCTGAAGACAGGAGCTCACCGACCCCCAGAGCACCCTCCTGACCCTGGGGGCCCCTCTTACAAGGTGACGCAGAGATGGGACACAACTCACTGGGGTCAGGCGAGGAGAAGGGAGGCCTCCTGGCTCAGAGGGGCCTTGGGAGGAAGAGGCTAGAACAGGCGGAGACCCCGCAGAGCACAGACGTCCCAGCTGTAAAATTCAGTAAAATGAGATAAACTAAACAAAACCCACGCCACTTGGATGCCCCTGCCCTGCCAGGCGAAGGCCTGGCCTCACCACTACCCTGCTCCCCTGGAGTGAGAGGATGGACTGGGTCTTAGAGACAAATCTGACAAGAGGAAGGACTCGGGCCCTCGGGGAGGGTGAACGAGGCCCCATGGGGAGGACCTCCTTGTCTGGGGTGAAGATTCACGCCAGCCACGTGACACCAGGCGATCAACAAAGAGCTGGTGTCATCCTTCTACTTGCACGTGTGTGCTGCTCGCGGGCCTCTTGGAGGGCGAAGAGGAATCTCTATAAACCAACGTCCCACGAAAACTGCGTTCACACCCAGACTGCCTCACCGGGGGGCAGGATGGGGGAGAGGGTGGGGGGAAGGCCGCTGGGCTGGTCCTGGGGGGCTACGAGCCAATAAGGATGAGGCCTGCTCTCAAGGAAACAGAGTGAAACACAGATCTCACTCGTCTGCCTCATTCTGCCCCTCGGTGGTGTGAGAACAGTCTTTCTGATTCTGCTGCCGGTGACCCACAGTGGCCAGGGGGACGCCAAGCTGGGGGACACGTGGGCAAGCGTCATGACTTGGGCAACCTCCCTCGAACCCCTGGTCTGTGGGCTGAAGTCCTGCTGACTGAGGCCCCTCTTCCCAGGCTCCTGTCCCACGGGACTGCAGGGCGGGCGACCTCGAGGAGGGTGCGTGTGGAGAGTGCAGGTTCCCTTCTCCCATGAGGAGTCCTGGCAGCTTGTCCTTCTGGGGCAGATCTTTTGTCCTCAGCTGGGATCCTGGCAGGTGGCCACCTGCTGCCCTGCGGCTGTGTCCATCTGCTGCTGAGGGAACCCAGGGATCCACCCAGAAGAGGGTGCGTGTGCCTGTCCAGCTGAGGGGACCCAACAAACTGAGGTGCTCCCGAACACACACGCACACTCCTGCCTCAGGACCTTTGCACCTGCCTCCTCCACCTGGGGGCCCCTCTCCCCTCTCATCTGCCCTCCCCCACAGCATGCTCCCCATGGGGTAGAGGCTTTCATGTCCTGTTCGTGCTCCACCCCAGGGTCTAGAACAGTGTCTGCACCAGGCAGGTGCGCAATCAACATCTATGGAAAGAATAAAATAGGGACTCTGGTTTTGAGACTAAGATCAAGACTGTTGAAGAAAAAGGGGTGCATGTGGTCGTGTGTCTGTGTGTATGTGTGCATGTAACGCATCCGCATGTGCACGTGTGCGCATGTGTTCATGTATGTGTGCACGTGTTTCTGTGTATGTATGTACTTGTGTGTGTGTGTGTACGTGTGTGTGCACTGGGAACGGTTTCATCCAGCCCCGAGTTCTGCTGGACAAGCTGGGCTATGAGGATAAGTGGGGGAAGCGGGCTCTGAGTTTCCTCATTTGGGGTCCAAGCACACTGCTGGGACCAGAAGGAGGAGGGGTGCCCTGGGAGGTGCTCCCAGGAGGACAGAAGGAAAGGCAGAGGGGCTGCTCTCCAGAAAGGAAAGGGAAGAAGCGAACAGAAGCAGAGGATGGATGACACAGGTGTGGGTCCACAGGGAGCTAGGTCCAGAGGGAGGTGGGGGGCTGGAAGGACGAGGGGCCCACATGGGAGCTGAAAGGGCGTCTCTTAACAAGGATACCCACCGGCGTGCAGCCCCGGGGGGGTCAGGGTCCCTCCACCAGGGCCTGGCAGGTGGCCTTTTTCTTTGCCCCCACCCACCCTTCCAGCCCCTGGGACTGGGTGACTTCAGGGGCCACCTGCCGTGGAGCTGTGGACACGGGGGCTCCTGCAGGAGGGGGCGCCGTCCCTGCCGGGAGAGGACAGACCCCGGGTGGCGAGCGTGAGGCTCGGGGGTCTCAGCTGCCCAGGGCGGGCCCCCCACCCCCGGCGCAGCGTCCACCAGCACCCACCTCTACAGCGGAGTCAACTCAGGTTTTCAAAGCAAGTGAGTGTCAGAGACCTCGGCAAAGAGCCGACGAGCCGTGTGTGTGTCTGTGATCTGGGGAGCAGCCGTCAGATGACAGAGCAACGTTTCCGGGGACGAGTGATGGTCTCTCAGCATTCTGGGATCCCCGAGCCATTAGGGAACAAGGTCTGTGTTGACTTCTCAGCATCTTCCCATCACACAAGAATGGGCATTCTTCAGACCGTGGGCCTCAAGTCATCTGGATTAAGCCTTTAAATCAGAACAGGCTTCTTTCAAAATCCCACTGGTACTTTAGAGAAACACACCACGGTTCCTGACGAAGTCATAACGGCAGAAAACGGGCAACTGAGGCGAACCTGGCGGAAACCACCAGTCGACTCGACCGGCCTGGACCAACTGTGGGCCCCGCCGCGGCCGGAGCGCCAGCCTCCAGGACCACGGGCTCTGCTGAGGCGCGTCCTGAGCGAGTCTGCAGGCAGACTGGATCTATTCTGCATCCCGCCTCCTCACGTGGGACGCCCAGAGTCTAGCAGGGGGAAGCAGGTTTCCTTCCCAGTTTCAGCTGTTTATTTCTTGGAGGCATACTGGTTCTGGTGCCCCTAATACATACTGGTTCTGGTGCCCCTCGGGCACTAACCACGTGGGGGAGAGGGGCTTACTTCCAAGGATGCCTTCAGCCCCGGGGGAACGAGGCGCCCTCCTCCTCCAAGTCATCAGAGTCAGAACTCTGCCCTACCTTGTTGATGGGGAGCTGTTGACGGGCAGCTGCACCCATGGGGCAGCGTGCAGAGCCCCACCCCACCTCGGGTGCCATGGGCCGAGGCAGGACGAGGGTGCAGCGCAGGAAGCTGGCATTAGTCATGGTCTCGCCCAAGCCCCACGTGAGCTCTGAGGCTGGGCTACCCACCCATTTCACAGCTGAGCACACTGAGGCTCAAAAAAGATGGAGAATCTGTGTTTACAAAGCAGCGAGCTGGAGGCAGGTGGTTCCGTGGCCGCAGGGACCTGGCGGGGGTGGGGGGCACTGTGGGAGGCTGGGGAGAGGCCCGGGCAGGAGAGGCCGGGGAGCGGGGGCTCCACGTGAGGGGCCTGTGCTGAGTGGCACCAGGGCATTAATGCCCTTGCTGTCTTCATCTTTATTTTAAATTCGTTCTCTGAGGAGTAATCCCTCCTCTGGTCTCAATATTTCAAGTTCAGCCTCTCAGTGTGCATGGCTGGGGGGTGTTCACCTGGAACACCTCTGCCCCCCACCTTCCCACGGGCGTTCTCCTGCACTAGGGGCCTGCACACCTGCGTGCAGCTTGCGCTGGGGCGGCGCTGGCCAGGGAATGTGGCATCTGCTTCCCCTGTTGTGACTCAAGAAAACACCCCAGAGGGACCAGCCGGCTCCCAGCCCGACGCCTGCAGCTCCGCGGTCCCTGCCGTGCGCCGGGTCACCCCGTCCAGGTCCGAGTGCGGCCACAGGGTAGGGTGCATCCTTTGCACCCCTTCCCACCCCACGCCTTCAGCCGCGCCCACCAGCACTGTGTGCTGCCATCCTGGGAAAGCTGGAGGATGATCCCTGATCCTCACGGAACCTGGGGCCCCAGCCGGGCCTGGGTGAAATGCGGGAACCAGGCAGCAGCCGCATGGTTCCCGGCGCCCCACCCTCCCTTTCCACTCCTTCCAAAGGCCTTGAGCTCAGCACAGGCCTCCACGGAGGACACAGGGGGTCCCACGTCACGTGCAGAGCAGGCCCGGGATTCGCCTCTGTGCGTTCACACACAAGGTTGGTACTGATTTCAGACAGGAGTGGGAGCGTCTGGATCCCAGCGCCTCTTCCCCACAGCCCGGTGGCCGGCAGGGGGCTCTCGGGCCCATCGAAGAGGCGACCCTTCCTCCAGGCAGACGCAGCCCTGTGTGAGGCGGGGGGAGTGTCAGGCCCCTTCCCGGCGCCCTCAGCCGGCAGTGGAGGCCGTGAGCACCGAGCCTGGCACCGTGGGAAGAGCTGCCAGC